CCCCCATCCCCCTTCCCACCCTGCACCCCCAGGTCCCCTGCCCCCACCACCCCTCTACTCACTGCCCCCCATCCCCCTTCCCACCCTGCACCCCCAGGTCCCCTGCCCCCATCCCCCTCTACTCACTGCCCCCCATCCCCCTTCCCACCCTGCACCCCCAGGTCCCCTGCCCCCATCCCCCCCTACTCACTGCCCCCCCATCCCCCTTCCCACCCTGCACCCCCAGGTCCCCCCACTCACCCTGCGCTCCCGATCCTTCCTACCCCCAGCCGCCACACACGGTCCGGGCCCCGAACCCACTGCCCCCACGCGCCCCCTCCCCGGGCCGTCCCGGTAGCCGCCCCGCAGGCTGCGCGGCCGGCCCGGGGGGGCGCCCGGGGGCCCCAAGGCGGGGGCGGGGCCCGGCCTCACCTTCGCGCGCCTTGAGCAGGACGGTGTTGGCGACGATGTTCTCCAGCTCCATGGGGCCCGGGGCGGCGCCGCCTCCTCCCCGGCCGGGCTCGCGCTGCCTCCGGCTCCGGCTCGGCGCCCGCCTCCTCCCCTGGCCCCGCCCCTGCCGCGCGCCCCGCCCACTGGTTACCTGAGCTCTGCAATCGCCGCGCGCTCCCCTCCCGCGCCGGCCCCTCATTGGGCCGCACGGCGCATGAGCTCCGCCCCCTCCGCGCCGCTCCACTCCTATTGGCCCATAGGTGAGGGAGGTGTGGGGGGCGGGGATCGAGAGCTCTGTGTTCGCGTACGGTGATTGGCTAAGCCTGGCACCTGAAGTGTCAGAGGAGTCTGATAGGCCAAGGAGCTGCCCATCAGCAAAACGCAATCTCAGCGCTATAGCGGATTGGATAGTCATGAACTACGTCCAAGAGGGCACGGACCCCGCCTACCGGGCGGAGCAGACACCTGATTGGAGGACTAGCTGCCACTCTGCCGTGATCCTGGTTGTGTTAGAAAGGGGCGGCCAGGAGTGTCCCCCCCCCCCCCACTAGCGCTTTTTGTTAGCGCGTCTGGCAGGGTCGGGGGGGCGGTAGCTGTGGGGCTGGGGCAGGTGGTAGCTGGGATGCGGGGGCAGGGCGGTGGCTGTGGGGCTGGGGTGTGGGGAGGGGCGGAGGGGCTGGGTAGTAGGTGTGGGGCTGGGCTGGGTAGCTGTGGGGACTGGGGTGTGGGGAGGGGCAGGGCGGTAGCTGGGGTGTGGGGAGGGGCAGGGCGGTAGCTGGGGTGTGCGGAGGGGGCGGTAGCTGTGGGACTGGGGCGTGGGGAGGGGCAGGGCGCTAGCTGGGGCGTGGGGAGGGGTGGGGCCAGGGCCATCCTTAGGGAGGTGCAGGCCCTGGGATAACTCCCCCTTCCCCTAAGGCTTAGTTTCACTATAAACGGAAGTTAACAAAGAGAACAGATTCAAGAAGTAGCAAGTAAAAGTTTTGGGAACAAATGGTTACATGTAAAATAAAATCATAATACATTTGAGAGACTAGGTTGAATTAATACGATATTATCTTGTCTAATGAAGTTTAGCTTGCCTGCAGTCTTTGTAGCAGAGTAACAGCCGTGTTAGTCTGTATCCGCAAAAAGAAGAACAGGAGTACTTGTGGCACCTTAAAGACTAACAAAGCTTATGCTCTAATAAATGTGTTAGTCTCTAAGGTGCCACAAGTACTCCTGTTAGTCTTTGTAGCGTTTTCCAGCCTTTCATAAGCTGGAACACGCTGGCAGTTTGTCTCCTCAGTGAGGGATCAAGGGTATACCTCAATACCCCCCTTTTGCTCCTAGATTCCATTGTCTTTTTTTGTAAACAGAATATGCTCCCTGCTGTTTGTGTTTTCCTGCAGGATGCCTCTCTTATTTCACAATCTCTTCATTAGCATCAGGCTAATTGATGCTACCAAAGCTCGGCACTTTTCAATCAGCAGGCCTAGGTAACTTGCATCCAAGAGTTTTAAAAGAGCTGGTTGAAGAGCTCACCGCGCAGTTAGCATTTCTTTGCAATAAGCCTCGGAGCACTGGGGAAGCGCCAGATGACTGGAAGAACAGCAATGTGCCAATTTTTTTAAAGGTAAATGGTATCTTGCTAATTATAGGCCTGTCAGCCTGAGCTCAATCCTGTGCAAGATAATGGAGCAGCTGACATAGGTGGATGCTCCAGGACTGAAGCACCCATGGAAAAATAATAATGGGTGCTCAGCACCCACTGGCAGGCCCCCCTCCCAGCACCTCCTGCCAGCTGCAGATCAGCTGTTCAGGGGTGGGCAGAAGACAATAGAGGGAGGGGAGCAGAGGGAGGGTGGGGTGCACTCAGGGGAGGAGGTGGGAAGAGGCGGGATGGGGGCCTTGGGGCAAGGGGTATAGTTGAGGCAGAGCATGGGTCGAGCACCTCCAGGAAAATGAGAAAGTAGGCACCTGTGACAGCTGATACGGGACTCGATTAATAACGAATTAGAGGAGGGAATGTAAATGCAAATCAACATGGCTTTGGAAAATAGATCCTTGTAGATAAATCTCTGATACTTTTCAGATGACTTTACATTGTGCCTCTTCATATAACCTTGTAGTGGGTCTACCCACGTGGGACCTTTGTTTTCATGAAAGTTTGTATCAAAGCCTCATATAGAAACCTTGTACTGGTATTTCACTGTACAGACTAGACTCCTGTCCAGGGCCGCCCAGAGGATTCAGGGGGCCTGGGGCAAAGCGGGGGAGCGGACATAAAAAAAGGCGCCACCCACTGCGGCGCTTGTACTCACCGGGCGGCGCTCCGAGTCTGCGGCGGCTGCGGGTCCTTCACTCACTCCGCGTCTTCAGCAGCACTGAAGGACCCATCGCCGATATGCCACTGAAAAGCCGGAGCGACTGAAGGGCCCGCCGCCTAAAACCCGGAGCGCCGCCGGGTGAGTAAAAATTAAAAAGGCGCCTCTAGCCAGGGAAGGGATCCTCGACCAGAGCTCGCGGGGCCCGGGGCAAATTGCCCCACTTGCCTCCCCCTCTGGGCGGCCCTGCTCCTGTCTTAGTTTGGACTCAGCCCTTGCCTTTTCCTCAGCTCAGTTCCTCTGTCTCATCAGGTACTTGCAGCAGTCTTTCTTCTTGGGCAGGAAGGCAATGGAGAAGAGTCCTGTTTGCCTTACTCCCCAGCCTTACGCAGAATTTACATAAGGCGGGAAGCCTTTGTTTCCAGTGGAAAAGTACCAGGAGTGTCCAAGGTGGTGTTTAGTACCAGGTGACAGGACCACCTGACCTAGTAGTGTCACAGCTACCTCCTAGGACCCCTCTCTGGAAGAAGAGAGATTAGTATCTTCACAGTCTTATTGTTTCTTCCTAATGGCCCATCAAGGCTGATGGCCGGTTGTCTGGTGGGTGTCTCCCAAATACACACACACTTGTAATTGTTACATAGTCAATATTCCTAACTTCAGATACAGAAATGATACATGCATACAAATAGGATAATCACATTCGGTAAATCATCACCTTTCCAATGATACCTCACGTGACCCATCTTGCATAAAATACATCTGTTATGCCATATTCGTATCGTACACATATTTCCATACAGAAAATGGGGTGTAAGGTCACTTCGGGTCAGGCACTTTTCCACCATGAGTTATAGTCTGTGGCACTGCCCCACACTCACGGCGTGGGGAGGAGACCAGGCCAAGCTGTCCATGGCTGCGGCAATTCTGGTTGAGCCAGAGAGTGGCCTGTTGAGCTTGATCCAGCATCTACCATCAAGTGGACAAGGAGGCAGGTGCAGCGATGGACTCCTGAATTGACACTGGTGCTTCCACTTTGTAGGGACTTGATTTTCGGCTCATTCGTGGCACTGACCATCCAAGCCTGGGAAAGGGCTGAGAGTGTGTGAGCACCTGTACCAAAGGAGTGTCAAGAGATCAGCCTTGACAGCCCGCCTGGACCACAAGACTGGATGCCTCTCCTGAATACAAGCAGCCCTTGGAGCGGGCACAGTGGGTTGTTCCCTGTCTGAGAATGGGGTGGAGATAGCCATAGCCTTTGTAGCGCAATGGAGATGTAATCGTGTGCTTGGAGAGCAGTGACAGATGAAAAGAGACTTAACAGCTGGCAGAACTGTGTGCCAGCATATACAGACTGGAATTGGTGTATAGTTCAAACAGCCACTAGCAATGCAAGGCACTAAATTCATCTTCTCTGTCTTGAATCAGATGAAATACCTGATCTTGGGTGCATCATCTCCTTCTGAATCCAGCTGGATCAACCATCTCATTAATCTGCATCAGGATTAGTCCTTCCCTCAATTTATGGGTAAACAGACAGCAGATAAATCGGTCGGTAGCTCCTTGGGTCTGTCAATGGTTTCCCTGGCTTGGGAACAGTTATGACCTTTGCTCTATGCCAGGCTTTTGGGATGCTGCGGTCCTGGGTATAACCAGGTTTTGGTGACAGGCCCCAAATGAGAGAGAAACTCATCGTGGATGTTATCTAGCACAGGAGCTTTGTTCGGCTGCAGTTGATGTATAACTAGGTCGAACTCTTGATCAGTGAAAGAAGCCATGAGGGTTGTGTCTACACTTGAAGCCTGCCATCTCTCATCAACCACCATGTTAACTGCCAAGT